TCTAAGTATTTTACTTCTGACCTCTGTGTACATCTTACTGAAACCTACAGTCTTTCTATTTTCTGTTTGTTTCTTCTCCCCCATCCCCTGCTGCCTCCTTTTTCCTTTTCTTTCTTAAAACTATGGTTTGCCACTCCAACACTTTCTTCCAACCTCATCAATGTACATTGCTATTTTTCTCACTCCACTCAGCAACCTTCCATTAATTCACCTGTTTGCCTTCTTGGCTACTGATTATGACTGCAGAAAATCAAACATCCTCATGGATTATATCACAAAAACCCATAGTCTATAGCCCAGATTAACCTCCAGTTCTGCCTCTCAAATTTCCATGAATTATTAGTTGGCCTTCTTATACCACAGTTTTCCAAATCTGTTTTCTCTAAGTCCTTATCAAGCCATCACCCCCTCCCTCTCAGAAGATGAAGTCACTCAGCACATCACATGAAAACAAATAGTATTTATCTTGTGTGAAATCCTTCAGCTTCCTCATTGAAAAAGTATATCCACATACATCATCCCTTCTTCCTGTACTCTCATGCCTCTAAAGAAAGATGTCTACTTTCTCAAAAGTGTTGTTCCTTTAGCCATCCCCTTTATGAATTACATCTTCAAACTTTAGAACTCTCTCCTGTCTTCTTCCATCATGATTAAATATTTCCCATCTTTAAAAAAATCAACAAATCAATCATTTTCATTCTCTTATTTGTTTTCTGTTATCTCCTCTACTCCTCTTCAAAGTCAAATTCACTGAGTTTCCTGAACTTGCTATATCCGTTTTCTTAAATGACATTCACTCTTTGCCCTCCCACCCCTAAAATTGTACCATCAAATTCACTAGTGACCTCTGTATAATTAAATCCAGTAGCTTTTTTTCAAGACGCTCATTACTGGACTGGTCTGTCTTTTGAAATATTTTCTTGATTTTTGTCTTCTTTGATACCTCATAATCTTTGTTTTCCTTCTATGTAGAAAGCTTTATTTTTCAATCTTATTGTAGGCTCCTTTTTTGGTCCATTCTTTATTTCCAAGGTTCTGCCTTTTTCTCTTGACTTGAAGCATGTTTTCTGAGAGACATGCCTTAATTTCATAACAGTAACTCTGAAATCTACCTCTAGAGATGTCTTGTGAGCTCAGATACATGCTTAAACATCTATTAAACATCTCTACTTGGATGCATCACAGACACCTCCAACTCAACATGTTCAAAGCTGAATTCAGCTTTTTTCCTAACCAATCTGATTCTCTTTCCTGTGGTTCAGATTCTAACAAATGATACCTCAGGATTCTATGATACTTTTCCACTGAGTTGCCAGGAACTTAAAAGCTATCTTTAATTCTTCTCTCTCTTCTATCCTGACATTCACTCAATTACCGAGTCTTGTGTGTTTTACCTCCTTACTATGTCACAAATATGCCAACCCTCCATTCCCACTATACAACTTGAGTATATACCATCATGATTTCTTGCTTGAATTCTTAAGTTCTGTTCTCCCTTTCCTAGTTTTGTCTCTCTCTGATGTTTTCTCCTCCCTATAGCTAGAGTGAACATATCACTCTCCAATTTTAAAATTTTAAATGTCTTTCTATTGCCATCAAGATAGAGTTGAAGTTGCCGTATCTGGTGATATTGCTGCAGCTTGTTTATTTCTCCAGGCTTACTTTCTCTATTCCCCATCTCTCTAAATGCATTTTTGCCCTATTTAACCATCTGCAGTTCCCTGAATTTGCCATCCTCTGCTCCCATGAGCCTTTGTACATACTGCCCCCTTGGTCTGAAACACTCCCCTCCCACTTTTTTTTTACTTAGTGAATTTCCTTTTTACTTAGTGAATTCCATAGTGTCTTTATGTTTATGTTTAGAGGTTTCTTCTGCCAGGACTTTTTCTCTCGTCATTCCTCCTAGATGTGAACTATCCTTTCTTTGCAACACCTCAGTATCTTGCACCAATAATGATTAATATAGCTGTGCCTTATAACATTTGAGTACTGATTTTATGCCACAATCTGTTCTGACAGGTTATATATCTTAACTCATCTGATTCTTATAACAACCTTATGAGATTATTATTATTATTTCCCTAGATGAGTAATCTGATACAGAGGAGTAGTTTTCCCAACTACAATAGCCATAACTAGTAAATGACACAAGTAGGTCCTGAACTTGGGCATCTTATTAAAGAGTTTACAAATATAAACATCATGATATCTGTTCATATTGAAGCATTTGTAACATTGTATTATAAGTTGTAATAGCCTGTTTATACCTAACTTACTAACTAGGCCCTAAATTCTTAGGGGGACGTTGCACCCCCAATACCTAGCACAACAATTACTACATATGTTTCTGATAAATTTTATTTAAATAAGTAAAAGAGCATTTGACCCAAAGAAGAAAGAGTCATTACCCCAAGTCATTTATACTGACCTAGCTTTGGTGTACACCATAGTGATATTTTCCTTCAACAATACCAAGGGATTACTGTCATCTAATCACCCTGTACTTTTTCGCGTCTTGAATAATATACACATCCTGTCCACTTGCCTAATATACCTTCCCACTCTTGTCCAATTGGTGAACTCCTATGCATTCTTCCAAATCTAGTTCAGAATTCGCTTGATTCTTGAGAATTTCAAATCTTTCTAGATTCTTGTTTTTCCATATTTTATATATTGAACATCACAAATAACAACATCATTAGACTTTGATTTTTTTTTCTTTACCAAGGATCTATTGGTCTTTGTATCTCCAGTACTCGAGTGTAGTTTCTAACACTTAGAAGTTATTCAATAAATGTTGAGATATTGATTGGATAAAATGAGATTGGGTTATGTCTCTGTAAATTATCAAGAAGATATCTTGAATGCCAATAAATTACAGTAACTTAGTTGACTCCTACACAGGCAAAGAATTGATTATTTATTATTTATGTTGTCCAATATTGTTATATTGGAAGATTTGGGAAGAAGATAGAACAACACTCCTGCTGTTTTACTTTCCTGATATGGTCAAGAGTTCATCAAAGGATATTCAATTTTGCAAAAGTCACTGAAGTTATTCTGCTAGCCAATTAATAAACATTTTAGAAAGGCAAATCCATTTGTATTTAGAGGTAGACCAAAGAAATCCATGAAAATTTACTACATGTATTTAGAGGTAGACCAAAGAAATCCAATAAAAGCTTATGAAGGGAAAAGAACTATGAAAATCCCCAAAATGTTATTTCTTTCATATTCTAGATTGGCCCCTTCCTTTTTACTCCACTGCTGAAAACTTTGAGCTTTCTAATTGTTCTATGTGATTCCTGTTTCTTTGTCTTCAAGCACATTCAAAACTGTTGGATCAAGTTTTTTAAAGCACTACTTTTATGAAGTCATTTATCTGCTCAAGAACAGTCAGTGGTTTCTGTCTATGGAATAAGATCAGAACTCCTGGGCCTAGATTTCAGCCAGATATTCTGCCTCAATTGATTCGTCTAGCGCCTGACCCATGACTGATATCTAGCAAGTACTTTTGGTGTTTTTATCGCTTTTTAAAAATTATTATGGTCTTGAAAGTAAAATCAAATTGAAAGCAAGTTCCAGTTTGTGTCTTTTATTATTAATAATATCTGTAAATTATCAGGAGTAGATGCTTCTTGTTAAACAAAGATGCCACGTGTTAAACAAAGTAGAAGCTGTATACATTAAACAAAATCTTTTCCCAAAGGTCTCATATTTCAAATGAAACAGACACGTTAAGATAAGACAGGTAATACACTTTGGGGAAAGATAAGTGATATTTTAATTTGAGGCAATTAATAGAGATTTTAAAGAGGACAAAAGTGACTTCACAGCTGAAAGATAACTCATTGTTCCTCAAAGGGATATACTTTATTGAAGTTCCAAGATGAGTATTCATCCATGAGCATAACTAAATGAGTCCACAAGACATTAGAAAATGATTACCCTTCAGATGCTGGGTCAAGCAAACAGGGTAGCCAAAAGCAAGTTGTTCCCTGCTTATAAGTTACCATCATGTTGCCAGACTTAACTGTCACGTGTGCTCTTTCAGTCTATTTCTGGCCTTTGTTTCTTGCTGTCTTTCCAATACATTCTTGGTTTGTATTTTTTATGTCCTTGCCATAAGACATGTCAAAAGATCAAAGAGTTCAAGGTCTTCAGATTGCCAGTATTTTATTTTGTTTAAAAAATCAACAAAAATGATCAATTGTGCCCATTTTCCTTTTTTTGCAAGAAACCAAAATTCACAATTAAAATGAAAGCACAAGATCTGTGAATTTCAAAATAAAAATTCACTTCTTCACATGCATATACCCTGTTACGAACTACACCACTCAACTTTATGAAACAACTTAAATATTGCTTATTAAAATCCTCAAGACACAAGTATATTCTCAGATCAACCTCTGCCCCTTTGTTGTACCAATGGAACAATGGTAGTTTCTCTTTCAGTGCTTAAAATGTCATTTTTGGAACAAATTTGAAGTTTTGATTCATTCAACAAACGATTATATTGAGCACCTACTATGTGTCAGACCCTGTGCTGGGTGCTGACCAAGCAAAATGGGATGATTTGTCAATTTCAAAAGAATTCTGGTCTCTAAAGCAGTGCTTCTCAAACTATTTTTAAAATTAATTTGTGCCCTCTTTTGCTAAACATAAAATTCTGCTCCCACTTTCCAGAAATTCTGATGACTTTGTCTAACACTGAGAATCCCTGACACACAGAACATAGACTCTATCTTCTGTGTATCCTTGCTAGACAAAGTGCCTACGAGCTTTTCTTTTTAATTAAAAATGCAACACATGTATTTTCCAGACACAAAACTGAATTGTACTACTTTTCTAAACTACAACATGCTCCCTTCCCTACTGAAATTCAAATTTCCTGCACCCACCTCTGTTGAGAATCACTGCTTTAAAGAGTTCTGGAGAAAACCAGGCAAGCTCCGTCTCTCCCCTCCAATCCAGTCTTAAAGGAATTAGAATTTTCCTACCTGACACAACAGCTGGTGAAGTATCATAATCCTGTCTTGGGATTGAATCTTTGAATGAAAAGAGCATGAGAAAGAATGCAATGAAGTACAAAAGAAAATAAAAATAGAATCTTAGCTCTAACACTCGGAAGGACTCCTTGTGTGTTGTGTGGTTGCCTAAGCCCCCTGCCTTCGAGCAGTCAAGGTATTATGACCTCTAGTTTACAGTTGATACCGCAGTTCCCATCACCACCATCCTATACATGTTGTTAGGTCCAGTAAGACCTGTTGGGACAGTACAGTTTGTCCCAGAACGTGGTCATCTCCCACAGTCTGTTTGGTCCCTCCCTCAGGGAATCAATGTAAACTGTTTACCCTCTCTGGCTGACACAAGAGTTCTACAAGGCATCCCATCTGGAGGGGGCCCAGTGCATGATATGATACAAAGTCCTGGAGAACAAAAGAAAGAACTAAAATTTAAAAGGGATAAATTAAAAATTTGTACATTCTCATACTCTACGGAGGCTAATGCACTTTGAAGCCAAAGAATTTTGTTATTTCTCATCCAGGCCGATCCTACTGGTGATTGGTAAGGCAGAGTAGACGGTACTTTCGGCTCAAGGCCAAATAGCTTTATGTGCTGGAATTGTGGGAGCAGGTATACACAGAACGGGATCTATTGAACTGGTGGTTATTGTCTTTATCCCAAATACCCTAACATTGGAGGTGCTGAATTCCAGAGAAAGCCTAATTAAACTACGTGGCAGTCATTTTCAATTTGAGGCTTACATGGGACAAAATATATTATTTGCTTTTGTGAAGATGAGAAAGAGGTTTGGGGTCAATACAATTTCCTTGGCCAGGAATCTTAGAAAGGAGAGTGGGATGTGGCCTATGGCTTTAGGCCCCTCCTTCAAAAACTGGAAATTTCTAATTTCACCCCAACTCCTGTTGGAGAGGTCTACTGTGTAAAAGGGATCTGGTACTGTGTACACCCAAATAAACTGCCAACACGTGGTTAAACAGATGCCTCTTGTGTGACCTTATTCCATTTGGATGACCTTTGTTCCATTTTAAAAGCTAAAATCCCAAACTTTGTTTTTCCGCCTTTTTGGACTATCACAAATTTATCTCTTTCGTATCCTTGCTACAAAAGGACGATGTTAATCACTCTCTTGTGAGCAAATGGCATATGAGAAGGCAGATCAGAACTTGAACACTGCAAGATACTCTGAGCAACAAAAGCAAACATGATCAAAAGATTCAAATGCAAATAAACCAGGCTCATGAGTTATTTTGTTTCTCACAACAGGTACATGAACTAACGAGTTGATTATAACTCCCCAATTTAGAATAAGTAGAATCACTTTAAAAGTGTCTCCAAATGTTTTTATTGATAGAGGCTGTAATTCCTCGTACTTTTTAAAAAACTACAATCACACATTACCACTCCATACCAAAAATAAATTAATTTTTGGACCATACCACTAGTCATTTTCCAAGAATATGTTTATAACACAATAAATAATAAAAGCAAATAAGGTTTGTTGTTGAATGTAAAAAAGTATAACGATTAAAGCAGCTATCAATCCTAATCCCATCACCCAGAAATAGCCACACTTGTTTTGTCTTTTTCTATAGCATTATTGTAGAAGTAATTTTTTCACAATCAATATTGTACTCCACACATGCAAATTTACATCTAACTTTTTTGACTTAACATAATAAATAATTCTTTTTCTAATTATTTTATGCTCTTAAGATTTCATGCTGTATTACACTGGTTTTTGAATACATTATGATTTATTTAGTTATTCTTTTTTTTAGACATTATAAAGAACATTGTGTCAACTATTTTTGAGGTACAAAGACATTTCTGTTATTTTAGAATATTTCCATAGGCTAAAACTACAACTGCTTGGTCAGTAAGAACAAATATTTTGAAGGGTTTTGACTGCCTACCTTGCTATCCAACTGATACTGATACAAATTTAGACTCCTATAATCAAGCAATCGGTGGTTAAGAATGCTTATTTCACTACACCATCATCCGCAGCATACTGTATTTTGATAGCTTTATTTGATGAAATGTGTGTGAGCACTCGCATGGATATGCGTGTTTCAGTTAGCATGTCTTTTTCTTTGATTATGATTTTTTCATATGTTCTTCAGTATTCTAGTTTACCTTTTATCAACTGCTTGTTTGTCATATTCTTCAGCATTCTGTCTATTGGGGATTTGATATGATATTGCTAATTTATTTGAGCTTAGAATGCATTTTTCTAAAGAGCAAAAGTTTAATATTTGTATATAATCTGTTTTCTAATGCTAGACTTTTACCTAATGCCTACTTGTTTATTGTATCTATTGTAAGACTACCTTTGAAGGTCTTTTATTTTATAAGAAGACTAAACCAATTTTTTAAAACTGTATTTTCTTTTTTATATTTGAGTGTTTTCAAAATTGATTTTTTTTTCCTAAAAAACCATTTTAGGGGATATACTCATCACCATTTATGATACTATTCCCTGAGTCAGAATCTTAGTAATTAATAACTAAAAGTGGAAAAAAATATAATCTCTAAGCAAAGTGAATAATTCAGGATTTTCACCTAATACCATCAGAATTTCAGAGCAGCAAAGGAATGGTGACTGGAAAATGCTAGACTGCTGTTTTGAACAAATGGAGTCCAATTTCAAGGTTATTTTTGTGAGTGGCTATGGTTACACCGTGGGAATCCCATGATGTCACAAATCACCAGTGGCTTGGAGAACACAAACTAAACTGCAGATAAGGAGTCTGCAGAACAAAAACTTTTTATTTCTTTCAACAGATTCTGGTGACATTGTAAGCCACTCATGACCAGCAACTGAACAAATGAAAAGGAGATAAGAAACTTGTAAAACAAGATTGTCATGCAATTTGGAGGTTCTCATAACACAGTAAAATCTCCAGTGGTTTTCTGCTAGAGCTTACAATACAGTGATAAGAAATTATGGATAATGGAGCTTTGATTCCAACAAGGGAATTCTGTGACAAAAAGTAAACAAAAGCAGAAAAGCTAGAAAAATCCTTCAAGGTCAGCAGAGCCCAGGAATAAAACGGTTACATTGCTTGCATAAAATGCATTTATTTTTTGAGCCTGCAGATTCTGCCTAACTTAAAAATAGTTAGAGAATTAAACAATAAGCATTTATGGTGGTAAATCTGGAGAAAGGTTAATTAAATTACATGGAATCCAAGCCTGTAATCCCAGTACTTTGGAAGTTGAGGCAAGAGGATTGCCTGAGTTCGGGGTTTTGAGACCAGCCTGGGCAATTTGGTGAGATCTCATCTCCACAATAAATCAAAAAATTAGCTGGATGTGGTAGTTCCAGCTACTTGGAAGTCTGAGTTCACACCTGTAGTTCCAGCTACTTGGAAGGCTGAGGCAGAAGGATTGCCTGAGTCCAGCAGGTCAAGGCTGCGGTGGCTGTGAGTGTGCCACTGCACTCCAGCCTGGGCAACAGAGCGAGACTCCAACTCAAAAAAACAAAACAAAACAAAAAATTACATGAAATCCATTTCAAAATTTGGAGCCAGAGGAACCAAATGCATCTGCTTTCACAAAGAGGAAGAAGAGGCTTTGGCTAAATGCAATTCCTTTAGCCGGGGACCATAAGAAAGAGAATGGGATTTAGCCTACGACCTAAGGTCCCCTTCTAAAAATGGAGACTTCTAATCTAGCTCCATTACCCATCGTCCTGGTCACTGTCTGTTCTAGATTAGTCATTGGCTCTCTCTGTGCTCGGCCCTTGGAACTTATGTTTCCAGAGTTTAGGTTTCTACCTTCATCTTGACTTGGCCACTGCTCACATCATGTTTTGCAGAATTTCAGTGAGCTGAGATATCTGAAAGCCTCTGAAAAGTTCCAAGTAGGAGAGAGATACACTCAGACAGTTTTAGATTGATTAGCTGTGACAACATGGTAGAGAATGAGTTGGAACAAACTGAGACCAAAAGCAGGAAGAGGAGTTAGGAGACTATTACAATTAATCAAACAAGGCCCAGGGCAGAGACTCTAGAAACGTGGAAGAAGGGATGTATTTGACTAATGTCTATGAGACAAAATTGGTGGGACTTGAAACATAGTTGTATATGGTGGTGAGGGAGAAAGAAAGAGTCCTGACTGAGTCCTAGGTGTATGGTTTGGCTAGGGGGCAAATAAATGGTTATGGCGTTAGCTTGAAAGGAAACAGGAAGCAGGCTTATACAAGAGGAAGAGGTTTCAGCTGGAAGGAAGCTCAGGGACGCTCATGAGATTAGTTTGGGTCATGCTGACTTTGAGATGTCTAAGGGAGATTTATAGTGAGTCTAAAATTCTAAGATGAGGTTAGCACTGGGGACTCAGATATAGGCGTTTTCAGCATGGAAGGCAGGGTTTAAAACCATGAAAGTGGATGAGATTGCTTAGGAAAATCATATGGAACAAGTCCGTTAAAAATGAAACCCTGGCATTGCAGCCTGTGAAGGAAAAGAAGGAGTGGCCAGACAGTTTGGAGGAGAAGCAGGAAAAACTTGGGCAGGAGTCACAAACTGGGAGCTCTTAGGACAAACTGGGCTCAATATTCAAATATAGGGAAATTTCACATCAAATTTAAATATTTAGTTCATCTTCAAAAACTAGAAGACGAGACCACCCTGGGTCTGTATGCCTATGTGGTACCAGCTGTCTGGAGTTGAGTAGAGGCTGATCTGTCTAGACAAGGCTTCCATAACCAGGCTGCTAAAGGCACCACCTCTCATTACTGTTTGCCCAAAACTCAGGCAGAGATAGTAATATTACTGCATTGAAAATATCTCTAAAATATAATCTCCAATATTATATATATATATATATATATATTTATACAAGATGATTGTGTTTATGATCTAGGCAAATATTTTAAAAATTGTATATTTCTAAGGTTTTTTACTTGCACTCGGTCAACTCAAAAGTTGAGTTTGCAATCCTGGAAGAGTATGTGAGCAGCTAAAGAAGTGGAGATTTTAAAGAAATAATTTACATCTAGTGAAACAGAGTAGGCTAGTGAGTTATCCTGTAGATCTGACAGGATGCTACATCCCTTATGGGAACCCACACTGAACTCCCACAACTTAGAAGCCACTGGAGATAGAGGCTGAGAGCAGTTCATTTGATAAGCACCTAATGGGTGTCACATACTCGATTAGGTATGCTACATATATCATTTCGTTTAACACTCACAACATCCCTGGGATGTAAGGATTGTTTTTCTTGCTTTGTAAAAGGGGAAGCCAAAGTTCCAAGAGATTAATAACCTGCATAGCTAATAATGGGTAAAGCCAGGCCTTGAACTCAAGTCTGATTACAAAGCCAGCTGGTGTTTCCATGACATCAGGCTGCCTTCTCATCAATAGAAATCTTGGAAAGATGCAATAAGGTGGGGAAATCTGATTTAAGAAATAAACCTCAACTATATAACAGCCACTCCAAATCCTAATCATAAATTCAGATAAAACAAATCTATGGTGGCATATCAAAATATTAGAATGACAATATAAGAAAAAAATATAACAGTATTCTGGACTCTAACCACATTTAATGATATTCTGTTAAATGAATCAACAAAGTAATACTATTTTCTATCTGCCTCCCCAGAAGCTTATTAAATTTTAAACTTTCCCCCAACATCGTGTTATACAAACCTTATAATGCAGCTAAGTATTATTTAGTACAAATGTAAAGGGATAAAAGGAAAAAAGCTAGAGCAAATTTGGAGTTGAAAATAAGCCACATGCTAAAAACTTTTACTCTCTAAGAAAGGGAGGGGTATATGTCATTATTAAATTATTTGGCTATTACCAGCTGGGTAAAAGTCTTGGTCCCGTATGTGTTCTTGCTGAAAATGTTCAAATGCAAAATCATAATATATGTTATTGAGTCAATAACTATTATAATTCTAAATCTGTTCTATGAATTTTACCTTATTTTTTAATTCTCTAAAGGATTCAGTCATATACTCAGTTAACTAGTTCTTATATTTTTACTTATTTGCAAACTTGAGCTTGAGCAATCAGCTGGCTTTACTTTTGATTCAAATGAGTAACATCTACAGTGTTTCTTTTGATGCTTTACATTACGACTACTTCTTTGATCAGATTTCAGATTGTCATTCAATACAGTAAAATTGCATTACTTCACTCATTCAGGATTTATAACCACTGAAGGACAATGAAGACTGATATTCAGGGAACCCTATAGTGGAAAAATGAGAAACTTCAAGCTTCCCAATACTATTCTTGGGGCCTGCTTATTGGTGATACACAAAGTGACTACAAATAAACCTTACACATTGCTAAAAGCAATAAAATATTATCTTCAAATTTTATCTCCCTGGTGAAAATTAGCTGTACCGCAGGGTATATTGAGTCATGTATCTTATACATGACTTCTAAAAGTCTAGGTCAGAAATCCAAGAACTCTTTCGATCCAGCCCGGCATTCAGACAGGTAAGATATCATCAGCTGCTTTTTACACATTTTGCACCTGAGGCCTTAGAGTCAGGTACTTTATTTATGCTAATCAAACTAAAATAGTTTTTATTGAAACAGTGTGATTCTTTCCATTAAAGTTTATTGAATTTCTTCCTATTTAGGACAGATTAGTGAGGCCTCAGTGGACTTGTCTGAAACTTCTTATATTCCAAAAAGCCTATGAGTCAACAACATCTATTTGGCAAGTAAGCCATGTCTATAAGGTAAAATTCCTGATACGTAGCTAGCATGCAGCATGTACATAGATATTTGGAGATGAAGTCAGCAGAACTGTGAAGAATTACAGAGGTGGTGGCTATGAGACATATAGGTTTAAAAATATAGATAGAAGCATATATTTGAAGGGGCCTCATGTATAATTAAGTTCCATAATCTCACTAGATAAAGACGAAATTGAGACTGGAAATATTATTTTCTCTAAAACTGGTAAAAACAATAGAGCTCAATCAATCTTTGGATATAAAATTTCTGACTCTATGTCCTATGCTCTTTCTACCGTATTTAAGCTGCCTCATTCAGAAGAAAATATATTGCTTTTCTACATTTTAAAAAATGACAAGCTCATCTGCACCAACATTTACCAAAAAATAGAACTATTACCAATAGTGTCACAGGGGATGTTGGCTTTGATGTTTTCATTGTTCTCTGCAATGGTAATTAACAAACTTCCAAAAATCTAGATTGTGTTAGACATTGGCTTCCTTGAACTTCTGGAGAATTATCTTTTTAATAATCAAACATAAAGTTTTGCCCATGATTTAAAATGCCCCATTGATACAAGATCAAGACTGCAATAGGGGCTTTTCAATACACTTTTGTTCCTCAAGGAGAAAGATGACTAATAAAAATATCCCAACCCTTAAGAAAAGATCAGGCACATTAGACTCCCTTCCTTCTTTTCAACATCACCTATGTTAACATATCCAAAAGAGAAATTTTAAAAACTTCAATTACACTAGGTTCTCAAATACTTTTTAATTAGTTTAAGCATTGACAGTGAGTCAAAAGTCCTTTGTATCAGTCATAGAGTTGGCCCTTCACTGTGCATAACCTGGGAATGACCGGGAAAAGAAAACCAGGCTGAGGCTATTAAATCACAGGGTCTAGATTTGCAGGTGCACGGAAAAGGACACCTTTCCCAAAACAGGCATATACCTGCTATGTTGTGTCATAAAAAACAAGAAGTAACTGAAATGTAAATGTGACACAGTAGAACTTCAGCCTTGTCAATGTGCGTAGACGTGCCCTGGAATTGAGGATGCATACAGAAGGCAGGTTATTCTTACTGGAACCTGAAAGATGTGTTGGGTGATAGCACAGAAGCTGTTTTGCTGGTATTGTCAGTGAAAATAGAGAATGTTGCATCTTATCAGAAAAGTCCAAGAAAACAAAACAAAACAAACTCTTCAACTCACCGTTCCTGTTGTGCCCAACGAAAGGTGATTCATCTGCTGTGTCAGGGGACCCATCATGTTGGCTGGCTGCATTGACATAGGATGGTCCATCGTTGGTGTAATCACAGCACCCTACAAGCACATACAGTGTCCATTTGAAAACAAGTTCTACCAGAAAGGGAACTTTAAACACACACACACACACACACACACACACACACACACACACACACACAGCAAATCATGTTAATCAAATGTTTTCACCTTTTTTACTGAAAAGGCTAAATTCAACTGTATATTATTTTTATGTTCATTCACATCATTTTGTGCTTGTCTAAATATATGGCATTAAAAGTTTCCTTTCTTTTGGTGTAATTTATCTGTGATGTGGCTAAAATATCTGTCATTTACCTCTTCAACATTTGATGTAGAATATATTTTTAAAAATCATGTATATCCTTTATCTCACTGTTCTAAATATTAAACTTCTTTGAAAAATATGGTCATTAATGAAAATTCTCTAATTTTCTTGATATTGAATCCTTGGTATATGCCATTTATCCGTGATTTATATAGATAATTCTTGATAACACCAATACTGTTTACCACTGGAGATATAATGCTGGGTCTAGATGAGTTTCTTGACTAGATCTCTTTGATGGATATATTAAAATCTAACATTGATTATCTAAAAATCAAAGTTATCATTTCTTATTTGTTTTTCTCCTGACGACCTATTTTCTATTTATTCATGCTATTGACACAAGACAGAAGAATACTGAACCCAGTTAAAGCTGGTCAAATTTTTACATTCATCCATAAACCAAAATTGTTTAAAAAGCAAAAATATTAAGGGTTTTTTTTAAAAACCCAGATGTTAGGGAAGGTATACTTCTATAATATATTTTTTGATTTATTATAATTGATATAGTAGGCATTGTTTTAAAGCTTCCATTCATATACAAAATGTTATATGTCAGGGAAGAATGGAGTCGCGTCATATTATCCTTCCATTTCTCTTTCTCTACCCTTAATTAAAATTAATTTTAATTAAAGTTAAAAGTAGTAGACTCTCCCTTAATTAACTAACTTTGAGAGTGGAACAACATTTTTTAAAAAACAAAATTTAAAAACTAGGGTTGAATGGGATCTATGAAATTATATAATTCCAAAGTTTACTTCAAAGATTATGATAAAAGCAGAAGCTCGTGATATAGCAATCGACTTAAAAACCTAGTTGTAATAAAATGATGATGTATCTGAATAAATTATTTCCCCAAACCATTATTTTTCTCACTGTGACTTTTTTTCCAGGTAAGTAAACATCATGAAGTAATAAAAGTAGGACAGATGCATACAGATGGCAAGATCTCAGCACTCGAACTAATTATTCACAAGCAAATGTTTCCTAAAATGCTTTTGCTCAGGTTGATCAATTCCTCCTGGTATTATCCAAGTCCAACTTCCTGACTGTCTCTATTAAAAGATCAGGCTACCACTCAACCTACCCCATGGTTCCTCCCTATTAATCTTGAGAGAGAATAGAACTTGAGTCAAATATTTGTAAATACTCGGTATATAGAGCCAAGTTGGTTCACAAAGATATTTGAACTTTTGAACAGAAACTAATCAGAAAACATATATGTTATCTTATAGGTCTGTAACTTTCAAATACACATAGTTATGCATGGAGTCTGAATTTCTTGATGCTTCTGTGAATTGTCATTCACCAGGATGCTACTTAAATGAGACACATGATAAAATATACTTTTACTTAATTATAATTCAGCTCGTAACATATTACTTTTCTTTCTGTTGTCTGAGTCTTTTTAACAAAAACATCTTTATTTTTTCCTTTTTTAAAAAATACTTAATTTCAGGTATTTATTGTGCCAGATCAGGAGTAAATACTTTAAGAAGAACTAGAGTTCTTCTTAAATCACTTGTAGAAAGATTATAGAATAAGGCTGAGAGGTGAGTGGATTGCCTGAGCCTGCGGTCTTGAGACCCGCCTGGGCAGCGAGACCTCATCTCTAGAATAAATCAAAAAATCAGCCGGGTGTGGTAGCGCACGCCTGTAATTCTGGCTACTCGGAAGGCTGAGGTGGAAGGATTGCTGGAGCCCAGCAGTTCGAGGCTGCGGTGGCCGGGAGTGGCCACTGCACTCCAATCTGGGCGACAGAGTGAGACTCCAACTCAAAAAAAATAAATAAAATAAAAAATAAAGAAAAATTATACAATAACCTCAGAGTTAAGATGAAAGTCCTGAAGCATGTTTTTCAATCAAAAAGTGATACTATGACAACATTCTAATCCTTCGCAGGTGCCAGACTTTGATTCTCTTCTTGAACTTGAGAATTAGGCCACACTTTTGAGAATATTTTTCCCTAGACATTCCAACATGCAGCAAAATTGTCACCATCCTGGAAATCCCTCAACTCTGAGGAGCCTGCTCTAGCCACATAAAGGATCATTCATGTAAATCAGAAATAAGGACCAAATTGTGTCTGATGAGATGAAATTCTTCTCAATACTCTGCAGGTTGTGTCATTCCCTAGAGGTCTATGAGGTAGTTTTTTTTGTGGGAAGACAATATGCAAATAAAGTAGGTGAGCACAAGACAGATCAATCAAAATTCATGCATGATAAGATTAGAAGGATTGAATGCCTGCACTTGGAATTAATTTAGGAAGGACTGTCTCTTTGAGAATCTTCTCATTGAAAGCAGTGTTTGGGGACACATCTGATTACAGATGTCACAGAGTTTGTGCTGCTTCTGTGTATAAACCCGAAACCTGACATTCAATGAGAAGAGTAAGAAGGGATTTGTCATAATTTTGAATTGTAAATAGCAGCACTAGGAACAGAGTAGAAAACAATGTGAGGAAAATATCCCTTTCCTAAGCAGGACCGTTATTGCAAATATGTGAACAGATAAAAATAAGGATTTGGGGATGAGGACAAATTCTTATTCATATTCAGTAAAAAATGTTCAGTGAATAAAAAATTTTCACAAATTATTAATAACACATTTTTTAAAAATCGTAAGAGAATGAAAGAAATGCACAACCAATGTGTAAACTGGAAATAACTGACACGAACACCTTTGAGAAATGAATTTTCATGATGACACTTTAGCCGGGACAGACAACTTAGAGAGTTTTAGGTGTTGGTTACCTACAACAAAGAATGCTGTTTGTCAACTACTTTGCTTACCAGCAATTGCAGAATCTCCTTTGTATTGAGTATGACAAAAATAAATAAATAAAGGAAGGACGAAAAGAAAAACCTTAGTTGTTGAGGCAAAATCAGCACCCTCAACCATAACTATGCCTCATTTAATACATTGTTAGATCCATTCCTATTCAATGCATTTAAGTCATAAATTGAGTGTTTTATGACGGATGTTGCTAACACATGAAGTGTAATTGTGTTTACTTGAAATGTATAGAATGTGCTGTCTGACAGAGTTCACTTGGCAAATGGCAAAGTAAGAGGAAACAGATTTTTCATTTTAGCATCTCTGAATGTGTGGGTTTCCTCAATGTTTAAGCTGCAAAGAAAAATATTGTAGCATGCTGTAATTCCACTAAGAAACGCAATGACCAAACAGCTGACGGGAATGTCTGGTCCACTTTAGCCACTGCCTTTACAAAACAAAGCTGCTCCCACTCAAGACACAAAGGGAGGATCTGGCTGCCCTCATTCTGAAATGAACAATTTCAATAGTAACTTGAGTATACTTTCCAAAAATCATCATGTGTGGTGTAAATATAGCTGACCTGAGGTCAGAAAAGCATCTGTTTGTTAACCTACTGCCAATATTTTTAAAAATTTAATTCTCAGAGTTTATCAGTATTTTAATTTCTCAACTGAAATATAGAACCACTGGCAAATCCAGGGTAATGCGTAGCCTCTCTCCTATGAAGAGCACACATAGCTGGCTTAGTACCTACAGTAATGCCAGAAGATGAACTACAGTAATGATTAACTGTATTACTATCCTTGTGAGAGCATTCTAGGACGTCGTCACGCCAATGATGGTCTGTGGATCAACAGCAGCACAGACCAAGATAGACTCTCTGGAATTCAGGCTCTGAAATCTGGTTTAACAAGCTCTTCAGGTGATTCTGAAATACCTGATCGCTTGAGAAGTATGCTCTGTCTATAAACTGCTAATATAGAAGCCAATGTTACGATTCTTAGAGGTAAACAATTGATTTTTATTTTATTTACGCTATTTCTCGATTATTTGTCTTAATACAGTCTTGATACAGGAAATGGACCTTCATATAATAATAATGTTATATGTTATATCTTATTTAAAAAACTCAAAGAAGCTAAGCCTGCATATTTGATGAGCTGAACTAGGAGATTATGTGAATAATTCACCCTAACCCTAATGACCTGACATGCTTCCAGTTTGGCTTGTGTTATAACACATTTGAGAATCTTTCCTATTTGGAATCTTAGTAACCTTGTATTTGAAATTATAGGAATGTAAAAATAAAAAGTAAGAAAATAATTTGGATGCTGGGCGCAGTAGCTCAAGCCTGTAATCTCCGCACTTTGGGAGGCTGAGGCGAGAGGTTGGCCTGAGTCCAGGGGTTCAAGACCAGCCTGGACAACTTGGTGAGACCGCGTATCTACAATAAATCTAAATAAATAAATAAATAAATAAGCAAGCCGGGTGTGATAGCATGTGCCTGTAGTTCCAGCTGCTTGGAAGGTTGAAGCATAAGGATCGCCTAAGCCCAGCAGGTTGAGGCTGCGGTGGCTGTGAGCATACCATTGTACTTTCTAGCCTGGGTGACAGAGTAAGACTCCAACTAAAAAAATAAAAATAAAAAAGTAATAATTTGGATTATATAAGAAAAGGATATGGCCCCCCCTTCTTTTCCTCTCTTCTCTTATCTAAATGCCCTAAGTAAGTGTTCGTACTCTGTATTATATTACTTCCAGTGATTTATGCAAAATTATACCGGACTTTTTAGTAGTAATCATTCAACATGACATTCAACAATGTGGTTTTAATTCATTCTTCTTCTTTTTTCATCTGTCTGATTTTTGCCACTCTGTCAGTTTTTAATATTTCTAGAATAAATATCTAGATGAATTTGTGTATAACAAAC